AGAAGTCTTGCACTGCAGTCATTGTGTTGACCTTGATTCAAAAGATTCTTGCTAAATGGGTGTCTGGTGGACATGTTAAAACTTTTTACCCAGCAAAGAGAATGGACTCACAATTTGTCTTCCTTGAAATGTATTGCCCTGCATATCAAAAAGCTGCAGTGATGAAGTAGATGTTAGCTTGCCCTTCTGTGTGGGTATTTTTTTTTGTTGTCAGTGACATATTTAATGCTTAATATAGAGAGAGGTGAACCCTAATTTTTTACAAAGCTAAGACCGCCCACATGGAGCAAGCTAGAAGGTATCTGCTCCTGACCAATTCTGTTCCCCCTTTTTTATTTTCTATATTTCCTCTTTTTGTCTGGGATAGCTTAGGGTGGCATCTTCTCTTTCAGCCACAGCCATTATTTAAGGTCTGTGTTTGTGCAGCTTAGCAGAGTGTGTGTTTATTACCCAGTGGTTGTCACAGAAATGAGTGAAAGGCATTCGTGGCTGTGTGACCCTTCAGAGTTGTCACTCAGTGGGAAGTGACATCTCCCCTATCAACAGCCACTTCCAGGATTTTTTTTTTAATCTGTCTCTGTAGTCCTCTGTTGCTGAAACCCACCTGCAATGGTACAGATTTGCATCATTTTTTTCCAAACTAACTGAAGTTCTAGCTGTCTTGTTTGTTTGGCGTAGGGTTCAGTACAGACACAGTATAAAGTCGCCAAACTCCAGTTTTATGCTGTTACCAGACATAGTTATATTATGTGACTTGCTGCCAGGAAGTCTCTAGTTTTACACAGGTTTGTCCCTTTCTGCAGTGAGAGACCGTATCAGGTAAGACCTTGCCTAAAGTGCCAGCAGCTGCGTAACATTTCATGGCATTCTCAGGCAGGCATGAAGGTGCAGGGCAGTTACAGCTCAACCCTGCGGTGACCGCTTCTGTCAAAATGTGCCTCCCCACCTGCCTATATCCATCAGTCTTTTGTCTTGAAATTTGGAAGGTTTACGATTTGAGGGATGAGAGTTTAAATATCTCTTATGGTAGAAGTGGTCTGTGTAGATGCCTTGCTAGAACATGGTCCTTAATGGAAGTCCTAAGCCACCCCAGATACAGAAAAGTGCTTTCAGCTTTCTGATATGGATCCTATTTCCAGCTGAGGAGTTAGCTAGGTCGTTTTACTGGGGCCATGGCAAACAAAAGTTAATACTTATTATGGAATTTAGGGAAGTTAGGTCTGTGGAAGACAATCTCTTTGTTCACAAAGAAGAGAGAATTGATGGAGGGAGGCCACAAAATGCAATAAAAATTGCACTGAAAATACGATTTGTTACCTTTTTTGTTTGGGATGCCAGTAACTCATTTTGATTTGTTGCAGGGCATTTGCAGGTCCCACTCTAGGAGGATTTCTAAATGAAAAGCTGGGTTTTGAATGGGCCTCAGCCATCCAAGGAGGATGGGCATTGTTAAGTGTAAGCCATTACACCTTTTTTTTTCTTTTTATATGTATTGCAGTTATGAGCTATTGCATAAGTTTATTATTATTACAATTGTAACTGACTTGTTTCCTCCAAGGGGCTTGCAACTGGAATATTCTATATCACCGAGGCAACAAGAAGAAGGTATGCAAAGATGCTTATTCTTTATATTACTTGCAGCCCTATAAAGTGAATCTTTGGAAGCTTTGCTTCCATTTTTTTCCTCACTGAATGACAAAATGAGCAGTAAGAATATTGCTTAAATACTTTGTATGCTTTCCTAAATCGCTACTGACCTAAACGGAGACCTAAACCAGGCAATGCCTGTTCTGTAGAAGCAACAGGACTGCGGCATTAAAGAGCAAACCCTACTGATGGTTCCTCCAGGAGAGTAGGGTGTCTGTGAGCTCTATGTGTCAGTAGAATTTATAGGTGCAAAAGCAATAGTATGTGGTTCTGTGCAATAGTAGGGAACCAAATGCAGTAGTCTATGTTGTGTGTGGTGTTTTTTATTCTAATGTTGGTATTGCACAGAATTATCTAGAGAATTAAACCAGTTTCTTCCCTCCTGTCATTTTTCTTGTGCAAACAGTTCCAGTTCTAGCCTGCAAAATCCTCCTGGTAATAATGAAGAAAGAACTCATCTGATGGGCAGTGAAACATAGCCAGACATACTTTCAATTCTTTGTTTACTGTTGTGGTTCATCCTAGAGTTGAGATGAGTGTACTTAACAGTGTGTCGTTATTCTGGACTGGGATGCATGATCCCTTAGTGAATAACCAGTTGTGGTTTAGTTGTAGCTGCATTACTGTTTTGAAACACTAAACACTGACTGCCTTTCTTTTGGAAGTCCTTATGTGGATTGGCTGAAGTGATGAGTAACCCTCAGATGTCAGCCTGTTTCATTGCATACCATACACGGTGCACCACTGTATGTGAAGGGGTGTGTTTCCAAGTGTCTGGTTTCTATACTTGAGCCTGCTGTGCATTATTCCTGGGTAAAACTCCTGTTTTGCTACCATGATTTCTGTATTTTTTTAAAGAAAGTTCATTATCTTGTAATACTTTAACTGATAACATAAAATGTTGAAACAGAATTTGAAATTATAAAGCACAATACTGTTTTCAATAAAAAATTTTTTTAAGTTTTATGAATTTTCTTAGAAAAGAAACGTCTAAAAGAGCTTGTGTCTACCAACACTTGTATTATGTGAAAGTGCCTGAAAACGGAGGCACAGGTAATGAAGAGAAGACTTAGCATCTCCACACAGAACTAAATGATCTTCAGCCCTGGAGGAGACTTGGCATCATGTGTGTACACTCATGTGCACAGACATATGTATGTTTATATTCTATATTTAAACTCGGCTTGATCTATTTCGCTGATAAATGCCAGCTGGAATGTTCATACTAATTGCTTCTGCAACAGTAAATTTATCAAAGTCTAGGGCTACCCTTTTCCAACAACTGGGGGAAAAAAATGTATCTCCTCACCTCTTCCAGATGCTTTGCAAAAAAGGGATGAGGAACTAAGATGAGGGCATGCCTGGCAAATTCACACCAGACATCTCAGCCTCAGTTATGCCAAGTTTTTTATGTTTGTTGTTGAGCCCAGAACTGGCACCCGTTTTTCCAAAACAAGAAAAAATGATTTAGTCCTAGCAGTTTCCAGTCAGTTTCTCTCGTTGTGAGTAGCCTCTAGAATTTAGATGGGAAATACTTTTTTCTCTGCCAGAGTCTGTTTTGGGCCGCTAGCATGAGCAACTGCTCTAGTAGCCATCTGAAATGTGAAGCACGAGCGTGCCAATGGGCAGGCTTCCTCTGGCAACACCTTGCAATCGTTCCCTTTCCTTTTGTGTCGCGTTTTAGACTTTAACGAAACAGGGAATGTACGCCTCAAACTATCATGAAGTGTTGACCCTGCTAGTGCTGATGGCAAGGCAGGCTAGGAGCCAAGAGGACTAGAGGTAGATGCAAGGTGCACAAGATGCAGATCCACAGATGTGAGATTTAAGTCTTTCCACAAAGGGATACTTGTTCACTTGTCTGGCATGTGCTGTTAGGTCCTGAAGTGGCCAAATTACAAGATGGAACACGAATGGCATTGAAATTAATGAGCTGTCCTGCAATGTATGTATTTGACCAGGCCTCCAGGAGAAACTAAGACAGACTTAACTAAGCTTTCTAGCTTTCTGGCAGCACATCTTCTCCCCTCTTCTTTCTACTGTGTCCAGTTCTGGAGTTCTTGGTACAGGAAAGACATGGACCTGTTGGAGAGGGTCCAGAGGAGGCCACAAAGATGATCAGAGGGCTGGAGCACCTCTCCTATGAGATATGGCTGAGAGAGCTGGGGTGGTTCAGCCTGGAGAAGGCTCCAAGGGATACCTTATTGCAGCCTTAAAATACTTAGAGGGCTTATAAGAAAGATAGGAGCCGACATTTTAGCAGGGCCTGTTGCAACAGGACAAAGACTGATAGTTTTAAACTAAAAGAAGGTAGATTCAGACTAGATAAAAATTTTTTTTTTTTTTTTTTTTTTTTTTTTTTTTTTTTTATAATGAGGGTGATAAAACATTGGAACAGGTTGCCCAGAGAAGCTGTGGATGCCCCATCCCTGGAAATATTCAAGGTCAGGCTGGATGGGGCTCTGAGCAACCTGATCTAGTGGGAGGTGTCCCTGCTTATTGCAGGGGGTTGAACCTTTAAAGATCCCTTCCAACCCAAACTATTCTATGAATTCAAGTACACTACAGAGACAAAAGAAACCTGAAGAGGTATCCTGGTTTCCAAGTTGTTTGCTCAAATCCACTCACAAGCTTGTTCTGCCAGGGTTATTCAGGGGTCCTGGAACCATGGGTAAAGCAGAGCAGCGGGGTCTCTTACTGCTGTTCTCGCTCTAAGCAACCCCCTCGCTAGTGCTGGGCTTTCCTCACGCAGTGACAGGTCTAAACATCCATGTGCTATTACTTACACAGTTGATCTGCGAAGCTGTGATAAGAAGGGACTGTCAGCCAAAGCCAAACTACACCTGGCTAAATCGGAGCAGCCCTGAGCTGAGCTGGGGTGGCCAGGCAGTGCCCGGGTGGTAGCTCAGGGCTGGCTGCTTGCCTCCTGCAGCCCTGCCTGCATCCCGCGCCCTCACGTTTGGGCAGGAATGGGTCCGTGCTGGTCTTGGCTGAGATTTCCCAAACTCCGGCTTGCCTGGAGCTGCATTACTACAGCCATGCCGCACCTGAATCATCCGCAGGTCTGGCAGGCGAGGTGTTTCTCCAGCTGCAGCGCAGGGATGATTCTCTGTGGTGGTGCAAGGCAGAATTGCTCAACCCTGGCTGCCCTCTGGCCTTTGATGTTGTGAGACTTTCCGGGCAGGGTGACAGCATCTCCTGGTGTTGGCTTTCTGCCACTCTGGGGGAATTCCCAGGGCTTGTGCAAGACTTTCCCTTTTAAAGCCCCCCAAACGGCTTTGCTTGCCCCCATCTTCCTCTTGGGCCACTTCCAGGCCCCAGACGTGGGGCTTTCTAAACCTCGTGCGTGTGCCATGCTCTTGGTGCTGTCTGCCCTGGAGGCCTGTGCCCTGGACAGGTATGTCGCAGCCGTCTACGAGCGCAATGTGGTCTTGTCAGAGGACACCGACGTGCCGGTTTCTCCTCAGGAGGCCTTGGTGCTGATGGACACAAATATGGCAATTTGGAAGCAGCCATCAAAGAGGCAGCCAGACAGGTATTACAGCCTTGTCAGAGACATTAATTTGGATAAACACTCACTATTTATTAATGTCCTTAACGGTATGTTTTGGTTTTGCGTGTCGGTATCAGGGTGCCCGTATCATTGTGACTCCTGAAGATGGCGTTTACAGCGGGGTCTTCACAAGGGAAACAATTTACCCTTATCTTGAGGATATCCCAGACCCACAGGTGGACTGGATTCCATGTGCTGATCCTGGAAGGTATCGTCCCTGCTGTGCATGGGGGAACAGTCAGACAGCTATCTTCAGGAAGGGATTGCTGGTAGTTTTAAATGTCTCAGCACAACCACCGTGAAACGAAGGCAGGTCAGACATCATGCAGTTGCCATAAATAGCTTCAAACAACTTCATCATTTTTCTCTGCAGCTTTTTCTCACTGTAATTATTTTGATTTTGGTTAGTGTTTTCATATAGGTCAAGATTTATTGAAAAGTAAACTGAAAACCTACAGAATCTACATTTCAGTAATGTATATCATTGTAAACATGTTTAAGATATAGGAATATTAGGAATATTTGTGAATAAAATAACAGCTACTACTGAAAGGGTATACTACAAAATTTCAAATTTACATTTTTGAATTGTGACATGGGAGCCTTTTTATTCTATTAACTTACTTTATTTCCATGATTAAAGCATGATAATCAGATCCGCTTCTTTTTGACATTACAGCATTGTAAAGGGAAGGCAGCTCAAATTTTATTTTCCTTATTAAATTGCATCATTTTATTGCAGCTGCAATATTTGGTGACAGATAATGAAACACACCATAGAAGAAACAAATCTTAAGCTACCTCAGCATGGCAGCCAAATCAAGAGCTGAAGCAGAACAACTCAAACTAGCCTATGTAGGAGTGGAACATCAACCCTGTGCCACATGCCGGCAGCAAGTGGGAGACTTTGAAAGTGCCAACATTCACTTTCACTGCAAGGAAACTCCTGTGTTCTTCACTAACCTAACAAAAAGTGGAGCTGGAGTTTCAGCACACTAAGCTTTGAAACACAAAACCGCTGCCTTCTGTTGAATAACAGAAAATAACAGTCTGGTGTTAGAAATTACTGACTTAAACAGATCATTCTTGTGATCTGTAGTCTTATCTTTAGCATTTACATGGGTTGACTGGTTGTGATGTCTTACTTCCTTTCTCATTTTTCTGCTGTTCAGGCTTGCTCCCTCACCGGTGCTGGAAAGACTGAGCTGCCTGGCGAGGAATAACTCCATCTGTGTGGTTGTGAATATGGGAGACAAGAAGCCCTGTAATTCCAGTGATCCAAGGTGCCCAAGTGATGGTCACTATCAGTGCAATACCAGTGTTGTCTTTGACTCTGAAGGAAAACTATTGGCTCATTATCACAAGGTAAGAGGATTATAGAGAGTTCAGGAAGTGCATGATCCCCAGGTGATTAAAAATGTGAAACAGAAGCTGCTTCCCAGGCTTAAATGTATTTGTACGTAGAGTCATTATAGAGCAGGTGTCAGAGGACAGGTGAAAGCCACTGCCTTAAGATATCTTCATTCCAGGATTTAATAGCAAGTAATTAAATGAGATTAATTAACACTCAATAAGCCCTCTACTTTTACTGCTTCTCAATAGGAAGTGGCGTATGAGATATTAAAACATTCATGTCCTAAACTCTTCCTAGCTAAATACAAATGCCCCTCATTGGTACAAATCAGAACCACAGATATTTGTGCTTGACTCCTCTTGCAGTGGTATGAATTCTACTTTTCGAAATTAAGGTATTGCATGTCCACAAAACATTCTCAATTACTTGTATTGAAATGAATAAATATTATAGCCAAAATTTGTGTGATTTAAATGCTTTGATTTCTTTTCTAATCTTCTTTCCTCTCCATTCCTTCCTTTCCATGAACAGTACGATCTTTTTTGTAGCGGAGAAGCAGTTTAATTACCCTAAGGATCCAGAATATGTGACTTTCAATACCTCCTTTGGCTACTTCGGCATTTTCACTTGTGCAAACATACTCTATCATGACCCAGCTGTCGTCTTGGCAAGCAGATTCCAGGTTGACACCATTCTGTTCCCAACCGCTTCGGGTAACGCTCTCCCACTGTTGTCAGCAGTCCAGTTTCACTCAGCATGGGCTATGGGAATGAGCATCAACTTTCTTTCAGCAAATACGCACAACTCCACTTTAGATATAACAGGTAATGTGATATTGCTCTAATTGATATTGTTCCTCAGGGTAACATTTACACCTGTGCAGTGCATTTGACCTGAGCAGGAATTCCTGTCAGCTTTAGACATGCATACACATGTCAATAGGAGTAGGGCAAGAGAACTCGTACAGATAAAAAGGAAATGAAAATGTGATATGCAGGAACTCAAAAATGCTTAAGTTGGCTAGGACACCTTTAGCTATTTGTTAAACGATCAGTCCCGAGAGTTAATGCATGTGATTCTTCATCTGCCCCTGGTGTTTTATCGATGTTTATCAGAAGGATATTGACCACTTGGAGCGGGTCCAGAGGAGGGCCACGAAGATGATCAGAGGGCTGGAGCACCTCTCCTATGATGAAAGGCTGCAAGAATTGGGCTTGTTCAGCCTGGAGAAGAGGAGGCTCCGAGGAGACCTCATTGCAGCTTTCCAGTATCTGAAGGGGGCCTACAAGGGTACTGGGAGAGGACTTTTTACAAGAGCCTGTAGTGATAGGACAAGGGGTAATGGGTATAAATTGAAAAGAGGGAGGTTTAGATTAGATATCAGGAAGAAATTCTTCACTGAGAGGGTGGTGAGGCACTGGAACAGGTTGCCCAGAGAAGCTGTGGATGCCCCATCCCTGGAAGTGTTCAAGGCCAGGCTGGATGAGGCTTTGAGCAACCTGGTCTAGTGGAAGGTGTCCCTGCCCATGGCAGGGGGGTTGGAACTAGATGATCTTTAAGGTCCCTTCCAACTCTAACCATTCTATGATTCTATGATGTTTTGGTCATGTGAAGGCCCAAACTTTTTTGTTCTCCACTAGGTGGAAACCTAACTCTGAGAAATATTCTCTTGAGCCCTGCAAACACTACTGGGCTGCAGACCTTGGGTTAAGTTTCCTTTGCAGGCTCTGTTTTCACTGTATATTTTTCCTGATGCAGATGCTAGAAGTCGAGCACAAGTTTTGTGGGCATCTGCTTGCAAAAGTGAGAGAAATTTAATGGTGTGGCTAAAAAGTAGCCCTAAACTTTGCCTTCCAAATAAAACCGGATGCGGGCCATTCCTTTAGTTCTGTCATTGATGACACTGTGTCATACAACTCATATTCTTTATGGATATGTTTTACTGTGGGCTTTAAAGATTTATGTATATAAGTAAAGAGCTTACATAGAGATATGACTTTTGCTCATATCTTTTCCTTGCAGTATTTTTTTGACATTACAGTTTTACCATTCATTTTAATCAGAAACACTGATTTCTAATGCCATAAACTTAATGATGGATGTATAATAGCTTCAGCCACTTAAATTATATATAATGGCATATAATTAGCACACTAATCTTGTCACTTACAATACATGAAACATCAGAGTTTGGTCTACTTTCCACTGACTACAAAAAGCATTAGGTTAGGATTGCAGTATGTGAAGGTTTAATTTAGTTTCAAGACAATCTGGTAAACATTAGAATAAAATTTGGCACATTTTTTAATGAGTGAAGACTGCTTACTTACACCATACACTTGCTTTCAGATTAAAAACTTTCTGGTGTCCTGTGTTTGCAGGGAGTGGTATTTATGCCCCAGATGGTCCCAGAGCATATTATTATAATAAAGAAATGGAAAACGGTCACCTCTTGGTGACAGAACTGAGCTCACACCCACATCTGTCTCCTGACTATCCTGCTGCTGTTAAATGGAAATTGTATGCCAACTGGATCAACCAGCTTCCATCAAATGGCCATTCTTTCAGTGGGGTCATTTACCATGATCTCTTCTCCTTCACGGACCTCACTGAACCCGAGGGAGATCGTGCCATTTGCCAGCAGGACCTCTGTTGCCGTCTGAGTTACAAGACGGAAGAGAAGCAGAAAGATGACATTTATGTTCTGGGTGCCTTTGGTGGGCTGCATGTTGTGGCAGGAGAGCGTTATTTGCAGGTTAAGTGTTTTTATTCTTATTTGGACGGTGGGAAGGCTGGAATATTTTCTAGGTAGTCCGTTTGCATTTGTCACATTTTTGATTGAGGGGGTCTAAGGGGAGGCATTTTTTAGGCCCCTCTGAAAACATTTTTCTTCATTATGTATTTTGACTCTATTAGAGGTGTTGATCCTACCTTTCTGTCTGTGTTACAAATGATGAATGTGAAGAACCTGAGTTGATTGTGCTATAACTCTTCAAGGAGGTTTCCATGTATGTCTACAAAAGGGTGAGAAGGTCATAGAGTTCTCCCTGTCTTCACAGGGATGCTCTTGTCACAACAGGGAGCTGTTTTCTGCTCAGTGGATTGTACCATTGTGCTCACGTGATTCTCTCAAGATGCATTTAGCTAACAAAATGAAGAAGCTAAACACAGATATAACGCTTTTCTTCACATGGCTTGTCAGTGTATTGGTTATTTTAAATTTCACTGTTAGGCTTTTTATAATGAGCTAATCTTTTTATTTTTTCTCTGTATCTTATGAGTATTCCCACTAAAGTAGGCAACTGTGGTTTCAGTTTTTTAGGAAGCTCAGCCAAAGCTGAATTAACTTACTTAGGTCACAAACTGTTCCACATCTGTGACTAAATGCATTTGCAATATGCATGAATGCCCATGTAACTTATAACACGTGTGTACACACAGACACAGTGCTTTGCTGTGGTTCTGTCAAAGAACTGTCCTTTTACAAAATTTCAGGTGCCAAGAGTGCTCATGGTTCCTCTTGACCTAGATAAATGAGTAGATGCATTGGATAATTTCTTCATCATAACAGGTTTTCTTACTATCAAATCCAGCTCTTGAGTGTTCAAAGCTTGGCAGTGTTTTGCCTTTCTGTGTCCTGCTCCCCGCAGATATGCACGCTGCTCAAGTGCAAGAGCACAGACCTGAAGACGTGCGGGCAGCCGGTGGAGACCGCACAGACCAAGTTTGAGATGTTCTCCCTCAGCGGCACCTTTGGCACCAACCATGTCTTTCCCGAAGTCCTGTACAGCGGGGTGGAGCTGACCCCTGGGGAGTTCGAGGTACTGGGGGACCCTTGTGAGTTGTCAGACCTGTAACAAAAATGGTCAAAAAGCCACTGCAAGACACAGGAGCAAATTGTGAATTATCAGCACCCTCTGTTTCAGTAATTGACTTCATTTCTGCCTGATTATCCTGGTTGCATTCATACAGCAGGTCCAGCTGCCCAATTCCTTTCTTTCCCAAATCTTATGGAATCATAGAATGGTTTGGGTTGGAAGGGACCTTAAAGACCATCTAGTTCCAACCCCCCTGCCATGGGCAGGGACACCTTCCACTAGTCCAGGTTGTTCAAAGCCTCATCCAGCCTGGCCTTGAACACTTCCAGGGATGGGGCATCCACAGCTTCTCTGGGCAACCTGTTCCAGTGCCTCACCACCCTCTCTGGGAAGAACTTCCTGATATCCAATCTAAATTTCCCCACTTTCAATTTAAACCCGCTACCCCTTGTCCTGTCACTACAGGCCCTTGTAAAAAGTCCCCTCCCAGCTTCCTTGTAGCCCCTTCAGGTACTGGAAGGGTGCAATAAGGTCTCCCCGGAGCCTTCTCTTCTCCAGGCTGAACAAGCCCAACTCTCTCAGCCTGTCCCCACAGCAGAGGTGCTCCAGCCCTCTGAGCATCTTCGTGGCCTCCTCTGGAGTGCTAGAACAAGATCTTTCTTAAGAGAGAAGTGTAGTTTTTCTCAGACTTTGCGATATCTCCAAGTGTGTAAGACTCAGACAAGCTTTGCCTTGCCTTTTTTTCAAGACATCTCTCAACTAGGTCAACATTAATGAATATATTGTTGTGTGTTTGTCATACAATAGTACTGCTTTGCTGATGTTCCTGTTTATTTTACTTTTGCATAGCTTGGTGCTAAATGATGGACATCTAATAAGTCATACTACTACATCGAAGCCAGTTTTGAGTGTAACACTCTTTTGGAGGTGGTATGAAAAGGACTCTCCACACACACGGGAAGCTTCACCGTGATTTCACTGCAGATCCTTTAAGATCTCATCTTCTTTTTTCTGTAATGCTAATTAATCATAGTTAAGCATAAGGTTAATTAATGCTAATTAGCGTTAATACCCATAATCATAGTGTCATTCTCTTTCTCAGTCTGCGTTATCTAACAGCGTAATCATTGCACATTGATTTGTTGACTTGATTTTTCAGCAAAAATATATTACTCTGCTGGGCAGTTCTGTGTGGTTTTGTACAATAGCTTTTCGTCGTCAGAGGCTTGGCCTTGGTCATCTCACTGGGGACAATAGAAAATAAATTCCTCTGTCTTTAGTGGCGTAGGGTTCAGGCACACAGCAGTGGGTTATGGCCCAATAACAACCGATTTTTAATTCTTTGAAATTTTTGACAGAGTATTAGAAGTCGTTTCCGCAACACTGTGCCGCTCCATCTCTGAACACACACTCTTCTAAACCAGAGATGAACATAACCTTTGAAGGACGATTGTTGAACCTTCAAGTTACCATTCACTTTGTAAAAGCCTGAAAAGACTGTTCCTTCAAAACCAGTTATTCCACTGAGTGCACAGTGTAATGTTATCATGCCATAACTTACGTCTTTCTGGCCACAGGTTTAGGGTGTTGAAAATCTCCACAAAGCTATTGAGAACTGTGTCGCCTTTTTCAAGCAGTCAGGTGGGTCCATATAAAAAATTCTCAAAATAAGCCATTTTGCAGGTGCTTATTTGTCTTCCGATGAAACGGTTGCTCATGCTGGTGTGAGGGGGAATCAGGGCTGTGCAGGCAGGGGTTGGGAAAAGCTGGCGAACAGCTTGAACAGACTGGCATGTGTTCAGGTGCCAGCCCTGCAGGCTGTACCTTCTAAGGAAGTGACTGGATTGTTTTGCATGGTGCGGCTAAGATTTCTATGTACTGCTAATTGGGTTGTTTGTTCTGGAGGTTTGTTTTGAAATAAAAACCTTGCTAATATTCAATCTGTACAACGTCATTAAAAAAACAGACTTGCAGAATGCAAAATACACTGGTTTTTGAACACAGACAACATCGTGAAAACAAGGTTTAGTCTGTAAGTCGGTATCTCTACGTTTGTATCTGCGCCCTAGGACGTGGTGTCCTGTTACAGCTAAGCAGCATAACTATGTGCTGTTGCTAAAAATGAGTGGCTTCTGATTTCCTCACCCCTGCCCGCATGTCCTCAGTGCTTTGCAGTGATTGCATGGTTGCAGGTGTGACCCTTCACAGGATTCTCCACAGAAAGATTAACACTCCGAAGAAGGAGTAGTCTTCCACGCAGCCGCTCCTGGCACAAGAAGAGGAGCAGGACCCCAGCCTGAAGACAGACTACCTCTACAGCTAAGCTGATTCAGCGTCGAGCTGCGTCCTGATTGACACAAGTAAGTCCTCGTATAACCGCCGGCCTCAGGCAGAGCAGGGACTGGAGAGATTGCAGTAGAGGGGTGGGGAGAGTGGAGTGGGAGGATGGAGGCGTGAAAAGTAGAGGGATCTCCAGGATAAGCTTCCTCTTACGCTGCCCACAGCCATGTGTAGCCTGGATGGCTGCAGTTTTGTTAAGTTTTATTCAGTGGGCTTTTTAACTGGTATTATTTGCTAGTTCCTGGGTGAGCGCCCAGCTGGGCAGGCAGCAGGCGGTAGTGCCTGCTGGTACAGAGGCAGACAGGGATGCCTCCATCCTAGCATGCTAGAGACCCCCCCTGTCCTGGCAGTGTCACTTAAAATTGGAGGGTCAGTGCCTGGCCCCTGCACATGTAACTTTTTCTGCTCAGCCCTGCCAAGGTAGTCACCATTCTGGGCTGTCTGTTGTCCCGGCTGTTGCTAAGTAAGGGAGCATTTACTGCTTCCTCCTTCAGACTTAGGTCTGATTGTGGTTGATGTGACTCATTCCGTATTCCATTTGGTAAGAACAACTGGGTGTGGGGGGGTAAGGCTACCAAGCTACATTACCTCAATTATCACTAAAATCTCTACTGCAGCCTCTTAAAGGTTCATATTTAAGGCTCCTGAACGAGCATGCTGTATCGAGCAATGTCTGTAGAGAAGTACTTAGAGGCGAACGTTACCGGATGCAAATTGATGTTTCCAATGCTTAAAACCCTTGGTCAGCCCTCCTGCAGGGAACTCCTCTGGTGCTTGCGTTCACCTGCAACACTTCAGTCTTTTCTGAGAGGCAGCTCCACAAAGGACAGTCTGCTGTAGGCTGAAGGCAGGCAGCCGGCTGTGCTTCCCACTATTCAGATAGCTTTTTCCAAATGCAAATACCACAACTGCTAGAAAGTAAAAAAGTGAAAAATGTCATAGCAAAAAATGCATTTGGACTGAATTGCAGTAAAAGTTTAAAAATGAAGGCCTCTCAATACACACTGTGTTCCTGGGGACAGGAAAGGTGAGCCGAGGAGCAGGCATGCCACTGCTACTGGCGAACTAACCTGTCCTTCTGCTTCAGGCAGTGGTAGCCAGGCTGTGATGGGTTGGTCCTGGCTGGACACCAGACATTCACCAAAGCCACTCTATTTCTGCCCTCCTCAGCTGGGCAGGGAAGCAAAAATATAACAAAAAGCTTATGGGTCAAGATAAGGACAGGGAGAGATCATTTAGCAATTACCTTCATGGGCAAATGAGACTCGACTTGGGGAAAAATCAATTTAATTTATTGCCAATCCAATCAGAGTAGGGTAATGAGAAATAAAAACTAAATCTTAAAACCCCTTCCCCCACCCTTTCCCTTCTTCCCAGGCTCAGCTTTGCTCCTGATTTCTCTGCCTCCTACCTGCACACAGCACAGGGAGATGGGGAATGGGGGTTGTGGTCAGTCCATCACACGATGTCTCTGCTGCTCCTTCCTCCTCAGAGGAGGACTCCTCACACTCTGCCCCTGCTCCAGCGTGGGGTTCCTCTCACGAGAGACAGTCCTCCACCAAGTTTTCCAACGTGAGTCCTGCCCACGGGCTGCAGTTCTTCATGAACTGCTCCAGCCTGGGACCCTCCCATGGGGTGCAGTCCTTCAGGAGCAGCCTGCTCCAGTGTGGGCTTCCCACAGGGTCACAGCTCCTGCCAGCAAACCTGCTCCAGCCTGGGCTGCTCTCTCCATGGGTTCACAGGCCCTGCCAGGAGCCTGCTCCAGCATGGGCTTCCCACAGGGTCACAGCCTCCTTTGGGCATCCCCCTGCTCTGGCGTGGGGCCTTCCCCGGGCTGCAGGGGGGTTTCTGCTTCCCTCGTAACCCTCCATGGCTGCAGGGGCACAGCCGGCCTCACCATGGGCTGCACCACGGGCTGATGGGGAATCTGCTCCAGACCTGGAGCTCCTCCTCCTCCTCCTCCACTGACCTTGGGGCCTGCAGAGCTGTTTCTCTCACGTATTCTCACTCCTCTCTCCAGCTGCAGTTGCACAAGTTTCTTCTCCTCTTCTCAAATACATTATCCCAGGGGCACTACCACCATTGCTGATGGACTTGGCCTTGGCCAGCAGGTCTGTCTTGGAGCTGGCTGGCATTGGCTCTATGAAACATAGGACAGTTTCTCACAGGAGCCACCCCTGTATCCCCCCCACTACTAAAACCTTGCCACACAAACCCAATACACAGGCAATGAAGTGTGGCTGGCTGGTGGCTTACCTGCCTGATTTCAGGGGAAAACTTTCCCTCCAGATGCATGTTTTCTGGAGGAAGGCTGTTACAGTGTGATGTAGAGCTAACAGAAGTGACTGGGAGAGTCATTGGGATAAATGCAAGGGATGGTTATATTGCTGGCACGTTAAGTGTATTACATCTACGTACAGCGAGATGCTATGTAATGACTTTGGTCTAAAGAAACTCTGGGAAGTACTGCACATAATGGCACATAACACAGGAACTGGGGAATATGAAGACACTAGAATAAAGTTAATAGTTTTTGAGGCCCTCAGTTATGCCACTCAGACTTCACAGAAAACTAGCTCCAGGAGTGCAAGATCCAACTTTTACCTGGGTATCAGTTGAGCCAAAACAGATAATAAAAGTCTGTTTCAACCAATGACAGAAAAAAGGTATCACAACAAAGAAACTGCACCGTTCTTTTTAGCCATGTGTTTAATAACTTATTTTTTATTGACACAATTCCTCTTGGCATTGCCCCATTTTTCAGTCTCACTGAGTTGCGACATCCTTGCTGTGTACTGTTACACTTGCCCGTCAAGTGTCACCTGTTTCCGAGGTAATGCTTTAACAGACCAGCACCTCCTCCCTCCTTTGAAGTTAAACTTTATCCCTCTTTCTTTTCTATGTATGCTCCTTGTGCACCATTTATCCATCATTCAGAGCATTCTAGGAGCTGCGAGGCACCAGCCATGCTCCCTTCCCAGCCTGTCCTGCGTGCTGCGGTGTTTGCACTCACAGCCCTTCAGGCCCTGGGCTCCGACACCTTCATTGCAGCCGTCTACGAGCATGCCGTCATCCTGCCAGATGCCACGGATGAGCCCGTTTCTCCTGACGATGCTTTGGCCCTGATGAACAAAAACATGGATGTCTTGGAAGGGGCCATCAAGGAAGCTGCCCAGCAGGTACGAGGGGTATCGGGAGTGTTGTTAATTAGTGCTTTCTTCTCCTGCTCACCCTCCTGGTTATCTGTTGGTGGGTGAATTCTTAACGGAGCCTGTTGTGTCAGGGCGCCCGCATCATTGTGACTCCTGAAGACGGCATTTACGGCTGGCGTTTCACAAGAGAAGCCATCTACCCCTACCTGGAGGATATCCCTGACCCGGCAGTGAACTGGATTCCCTGCACTGACCCCACAAGGTGATTTCTTCTGCCATGATTTCTGTGGTTTCAGGCTAGTGTCTCATGGAGTTGTGAGCTGCTCGCAATAAATGCCTGAGAGCTGCTGATGCTTTTGACATGAGGGTAAGGTTCAGTTAAAGTTGCATATGTAGGTAAGTTACGTGATAAGGTATATAGCATGTCCATGACTAATTGACAAGGGAGCTCTGTTAAAAACATATTTTGAATGAGACACTT